TGCTGATTTTGATGATTCTTTGAATATATATATAATACTTTATAATAATTGTATATAGAATATATATATATAAATATATAGATATATATATATATATATATATATATATATAATCTAATATATATATAATCTAAATTATAGAAATGAACATTTTGAATAACTTTTTCTTATAACTCTTTCATATAACTATCGCTCGATTTTAATATTTCAAATATTTATTAAAAAAATGCTATTATTATAGAATTTCGTTTATTCGTGACACATATGTGTAAGTATATACTTATTTCCTGTACTATAAATACATAGCAACAGCAAACAATTAAAACGTATAAGTGAAAGTAAATAAAAAATTTACTTTTTCTATGGATTTAAAATGTCTCAAATCCAACATCGAGAATTCTTTGAATCTATGCACAAATAAAATGTAAAACAATCTCTGACCGAATTATAATATTAATATTGTACCGATAAATATTTTTATACGTAATAAATATTATATATAATTTATATACGTTATAAATTCGACTTTTGTTCAAGTTCGATGTTGAATTTAAGTTTACTATTGAATCCTATTGAATTATTACTATTGAATACTATTGAATTATTAAAAAAATAATTTTTTAATTGTCTAACTATTATATATTTTACAATGTGTTTATAAAAACAATAGATATGATGACGGTTATATGTTTTATAAAAAAGACACATATAAGAGAAATTTTATGTAATAATAACAATCTTTTTTTGCAAATATTTCAAAAGTTAAGATGATTAGTAGAAGAAAATGTTCAAAATTTTGTTCTGGGCAATATATCCAAAAATTATTAAAATTGGTTTAAGATTATTCTAAATAATTATCACCAAATGTATCAAGTAATGCATCATTAAGTGCTTGATTTTTTTCTTTACTATTATATATGTTGCTGTAATATATATCTCATAAAAAAGTTTCTTAAAATAATTTCCACTTTTTATGTTATTAAGTTTATTTAATAATTAAATCGAATATTAATATATATTATTATATATATAAATATATATAATATATATCACAAAAGTTCATAAAATGATTGATCTATTTTTATATCTGGTCTATATCTAATCTAATTTTGAAAATTTTGAAATTTTATGCTTATTTTAATTGAAATTTTAGAAGAATTCTTTTTAGATAAAAACAATATTTATGAGAAGGATTTTTGATGATTTGAAAGATAAGAAAATTTCGCGAAAAAATTTTTATTATAATATTAATAATAATGTTAATAATATTAGTCTTTATCGATGCAATATGAGATAGAATTATTGATTAAAATAATGTGAAAAGATTAAAATTCTGTGAGAATTTTTTAATATCTAAGAAAATATTTAAATTAATTTATTTTTAATACTGAAATATTTATATTATTTTCATCAATTTTACTTTTTTATTTTTTATTCAATTTCAAAATTACAACGACAAAAATTACAATAATAGCAGTAAATAATTTTGATTGTTGTCATTTCGATCATTTAAAAGAATTGTCTTATATTTGAATTCTTTAAATCTTTAAAGTGATATTTTTTATATGTAATTAAATATTTATTATATTAATTATTAAATTATTACATGCAAACATTTATAAACTGAACAAAATCCATTTTATCAATTATTAGAAAATATAATATATATATATATATTATAGTATAAGTTTAAAATATAGTTAATATATATATTAATCAATGATATTAATCAATATATTTGTCTAAGATTTTAATGAAAGAATCAATTCAATATAAAAAAGTTTATTATTTTTAAAAATAATTTCTTAAATACATACTATTAGAAAATGCATTATAATGTATACATTTATTACAACAGATTAATAAAAATATTAACTAAATTTAAAATAAATTCATCTTTAAAATAAATTATATCTTTAAAGTTACTGAATTAGTTAGAATAAATTTTTTAATAAATTTTCGATCGCAATATAATGATTATTTTAATAAATTATTTTTGTTTTAATATTGAATTAATTTGCATTGAATAAATAATCTTTTCAATTTTATCATATAAACTCGCAGTTGGAGTTTAGATATTTCTTATTACAATTCATAAAGAAATAGATTTTTGATTAATTCATCCGTTATATGTCTTTTAGTAGCTATGCATACATAACAGATAAGTAGTTGTCCTATGTTACGTAGACAAAATTTTATAAATAATAACAATTTCTTTTTGCAAATATGTCCAAAATTAAATCGATTGATAATTATATATATAGGAAAAAGTTTTTCATAAAATAATAAATTTTACAATTTAAAAAATTATCTAAATAATTATCTTAAATTTTAATTAATAATATTTAATTTGTTAAATCAATTATTTCTTTACAATTTATTTTAATTTAAAAAAAAGTAATTATTTTTTATAATTTTATATAATATATTTGTACTATTACTAATAATTATTCAAAAATTATTTACAAATAAATATATAATTTCATTTACATATAATTACTTATTTGATGCAATACCATTTCGAAATCATTTTTTATTCATAAATAATGTTATATTTTCCTTATTAACTATCTTTTTTTTCGTGAAAAATCTTGTAAAATAAGATTTTGAATTTTCAATAATGTAATATCGCCCCTATTTAAAAGAAATAGAAAGAGAAAAAGTTATTTGGAAAATATTATAATTGATTGATTATTATGCCACTTATCAGAATATAATACGTTTTATAATAATAAATTATAATTTTTACGATATTAAATGACTTTTGTCGCTATGATTTCGAATTCGTTATCGTAACATATAATGTTATCATGTTATGTTATCATATAGTCTACAATGAAAATCATTTACAATAGATCACATTTACAATAGTATTGCATGGAAACAAATCTTAATTTATGTATTTTAGTAGATGGCATAGCAATCGCGTTAAACTAATCCTTTTTCCAATTAATTTTTTTTCTTTCTATTATTCCGAAATGAGAACATTACATATTGAAAATCTGGAATTTGATAAGATTGTTGTGAATTATTATATATGGACCATATCTATAAATATATGATTTAAGATGTCGATGCTAACGCCGCCAACTTTTTCAGTAAGAACTAATCTTTTTTCCCTTTATTATTTATATGTCATAACTTATTCCTATGTAATAAAATAAATACTTAAAAACTTACTACTTACTTTAATTTGTATTCTACTTTCTACATAATGTATCATATTGATTTCCGTTGTCCTTGTTTCTAATATTATATCAGAAAGTATTTTTTTATTAAACTAGTGATATCATAAAAATTTTCTTTTTGAAATTTTTTTGAAATTTTTTAAAATTAAAATAAATATATCAATTACATCTACTTTTATTTTTATACATTCTTACATACATCTTGTCACTGAGTAGTTCAAATTCTATGTAGAAATGAAAATAATTATTTTTTAATGAAGAATCATAATTAAATTTATTTTTATTTTACATAATTTCTTAATAATTAATTAAAAATTTATTTTAATAATTTTATTATTTTAAATTTATTTTTTTATTTTTAAATTTTATTATTAATAATAATTTATAATTTATGATAATTATTGAATAATTTTCTAAAATTTTCTAAAAATTTTAAAAAAATATATTTCAAACTTAAATAAAATAAAAAAAAATTAATATTATTATTATAAATAATATTATTTTATTTGAAATCGACGATACGTATAT